AAAAAAAAAAAAAAAGAAAGAAAGAAGAAGAGGAAGAAAGAACGAGACCTTTGTAACGCAACGCAACATGACTCGTTGCGTTCTCGCTATCGCGCCATGTTTGTCCTTTCGTTCGATCTGGTTGTTCGTGCATTTTTCACCGGTCCGAACGCCTCGCTCGTTCCCGTTTTCGAACGTCCTTTCTCGCGGAAGGTCGGCTCGACTCGAGGTCGCTGCGGGAAATCGTCCACGAGCTACAGCCACTACTCTTTCTTCTTCTTTTTGTTTTCTTTTTTTTTTTTTTCTTTCATCTCGAATCGTGAAACTTTCGCCAGTATTTTCTGGCAGCCGCGAGTCCTTCCTTTTTCCTCTGCAAAGACCGCAAAACGCGCACAGGAGGAAGACGGTCTATTTATACGAGACGCGCGAATTCCACGGGCGAGAAAGCGAGACGAGTCGCGCGCGAGTTTTAACGAGAGGAGTCTCGCTCGCGTTAACCGGCCGGCCGAATCGGTTTGCACGTACATACATACATACATACATACATACATACATACATACATACATACGTGTTTCCTTGCCGCGGGTTACCGTTATCTCCAACGTAACGCAGTCTTTTATCCACCGCGATCGTGCAGACTGCCTCTCTCCTCCTCGCCTCACCGCCCCGGTTCTCCGCTCGCCACCTCTCGGCTCGTGCACTCGGTCGCGATCCACGCCGCGCGTTCGATTTCGATCTTTCGTTTCGATCGAACGAAACGAAAAGTAAACGGGGTTTCTCGCGATATTTCAAGCGCTCGCTTGACAAACCGGTCGTGCCGATCGCGTCCCCCTACGATTTCAGCGAGCGAACGTGAGAAATGCCGATCGAAAACAGCGAAACAGCTATCGGTGCGAATTCAGAATCAGTGCAGGGAGCGTTCACCTTTTCCGCCGGTGGCAACCGATGTCCGAATCGAAGTCGATCGGCAAGGATCACCGGTGGCCGCCTTTTACGTAATGCTCGATCGAGATCGAGGTGCGTGTCCGTGTTGCAAGCCAGGTCGAGCATTGCAAAAGTCAACGCGATGCGTGGACACAGTCGTTCTGATCGTCGTTTGTCGAACGTCGTGGACGTAGTGCGTGTTTTTCGTTTGCTCGACTCGTCGAAATTTGTCTCGATACACACGCCGCGCCGATCGCGTTTCTCTCGATTTTCGCGCCTGACAAACGTAGCCGCCGAAACACCGTCCGACGATCTTTCCCGTTCCGATTGCAGCAAAGCAACAGAGTGACTATGAAGCTGGACGTCAGTTACACGGACCATTCGCACATCATCGGCAAGGGTGGACTAACGATCAAACGAGTGATGGAGGAAACTGGCTGCCACATCCACTTTCCAGACAGTAACCGGAGCAATCATCAAGAGAAGAGCAATCAGGTGTCGATTGCAGGGGAAATGGAGGGTGTCGAACGTGCTCGCGCTCGTGTCAGAGTGAGTGATTCAACAGATTCGTCGTCGTCTTTAACATCTTGCGCTGGAATCGCAACTTTTTGTCCTAAAATTGCAATATTTCCTCAGTTTATATCCAGGTATAACCCAGGCGATACAAATAGTAAATTTTGTTAAATTACTTCTCAATAATTTCTATCCAGTGATATCATACCGACGAGTTCGAGAAGAAAGCGACGAATTATTGTATACGGTTTGGTCGCTCGTTATGGTCCGCAATCAGTTGCCAGCGCAAGTGGTTAAACCCTCTAACAGACGTAAGATCTACAGACTTAACCTCTTGCGTTGGAATGACGTGCACGTTCCAAAATTGCAATATTCTCTCAGTCTTAACAATACTTAAGTATAATCCAAGCAAAACGAACAATAAACTTATTACTTCTCAATAATTTCTATCCAGTGATATCATACCGACGAGGTCAAAAAGAAAGCGACGAATTATTGTATACGGTTTGGTCGCTCGTTATGGTCCGCAATCAGTTGCCAGCGCAAGTGGTTTAAACCCTCTAACAGACGTAAGATCTACAGGCTTAACCTCTTGCGCTGGAAACGACGTGCACGTTGAAAACTTTTTGCCCCAAAATTGCAATATTCTCTCAGTCTTAAGTATACTTAAGTACAATTCAAGCAAAAAACTTATTACTTCTCAATAATTTCTATCCAGTGATATATTAACGAAGTTCAAAAGGAAAAAGAAAGCGACGAATTATCGTAGTGTAATACGTATTCGGTCGCTCGTTATGGTTCGCAAATCTAGTTGCCCAGCGCAAGTGGTTAACGTACCAGCGTTACTATCAGTATTATGGCTCACGTCGTCGATTCGTCTTTGCAGAGTCTCACTCCTCTGATATTTTCGTTCGAGCTACCGATCATGAGCGCCTCGCAGATAATGCCCGACTCCACGTCGCCGTACGTGGTGAAGATCCAGGAGCAATACAACGTTCAGGTGATGTTCCGCACCAGGCCGAAATTGCACGCCACTTTGGTGGTGGTCAAGGGCAGCGAATGGGAGGTGTCTCATACGAAGGAGGCCACCATGCTTCTGATCCACTATATGTGCCAAAATTTAGCTGTGAGTACGATCGTCGTGTCACGCTTGTCTCGCATTTCAAAAAAATCTTCCTTCCTCGTTCATTCGAATTCTTTTTTTTTTTTCTCTTTCGCGTAGAATCAGATACAAGTACAAATGTCAATGGAGATTTCGCCGCAACACCACAGCGTCGTGCTGGGTAAGCAGAGCAGCAATTTGAAAGTGATCATGCAGCGCACTGGCACTCAGATCATGTTTCCAGACGCCGGCGATCCGAACATTCCCAGCTTGAAGAAGAGTAACGTCACGATCACAGGTGGCATTCACAACGTTTACTTGGCTCGGCAACAATTAGTGGTAGGTTGTCAACATCGACTCTTTTATCAGATGGCCAGCTTCTTATCTGGCTCATTCCGTTCTTCTTCTTCTTCTTCCACTTTTACGCTGGAAACACGCATGCGTTCGACAGATAACGATAGATAATAATCGGCTATTTAAGAAACGACGAAACGACACGTTTTGCGTGAAAACAAACGAAATTTTTGCCCCCTCCAGGGTTCTCTGCCTCTTGTACTGATGTTTGACCTTCCCGAAGACTCAATGTCCTCGGTCGACACCGAGAACGTTTCCCAGCTAATGCAATCGCTGGACGTGTTTATAAACGTGAGGCACAAGCCGAAACAGAGCACACTGTCTGTGATCATCAAAGGGATCGAACGGAACGCCGGCAACATTTACGAAGCGAGGAAACAGCTTCTAGGTCTGGACGAGCCTAGAGTGCACGCGGAGATACCGGCCACCTACCACATTCCGAACGGTAGCTGTATTTACCAAACTAACACCACCAACGGCTCCACCAGTGAGTATCGAGACGTCGATCGAATCTCACGTAGCGACGAGACAAATGACCGATGGTTAATTGATCATTTGACGATCGTATGATTCGCAGATTGCAACAATCTAGTGGGTAATCTGTCCGACAACCTGACGAGCATACTAACGGTGAACACGCAGACGCCCCCGTACTGCATATCGCCAATTTCTCACTCACCGAATTCGATGAGTTTGTCACCCCACTGGAGTTTGTCGCCGATACCGTCTATGTTCTCCCCGTTGCTCCATCACACTTACCCATACTCGCACCTGAATCATCTGTTGACGACGCAGCACATTATGCACAACAACCCGATGTCACCGCATCCCCACGGACTGCAGAATCACGGTTACACCGGTATCGGACAATTTCACCCGAACGGGCCTACAGGCTTCCACAACATTCACGGATTGAACGGCAATCCATTGACAGACAGCAAGGAGAGTAGCGGTGAGTATTGTCACTTTTGTCCTATTTTCCTCACGTTCGAAAAGGAAGATTGTTTCGCGTATTTTCGCGTCGAGAAAGATGCATCGTGTTGTCGTCTCGTCGATATTTTTCTAATTAATAAAATTATCCGTGTAATAAATCTCTTTTTCAAGAAATTTGGTCAAATATTTGCCAACTTTTTGTACGGTCATTCAACAGACAAAGAGAGAGAGAGAGAGAGAGAGAGAGCCATTATTTTGAACGATTCGAAACAACATTTAACAGTATTTAATTTTAATAGAGTTTAATAAAATGGCTCAGTAGTCACAGTTACACGAATAAATTAGCTTGAGAATGTTGATTTTTAGGAGATCGCTGCTTATTAAAAAGTTATTGTCGACGAAATTTCATACAGAAATACATAATTCCTCGCACAGTACATGTGTGTTGTGAAGTAAAAGCGTGGATATTCCCTCCCTATAAAAAACTTTTGGATAAACTAAAATTGGACAATAACTTGTCAATAAAAAGTAATTACCGTTTAAAGTTTTCAGTTCATGACCTTGACAACCTATTGACAAAAAATCGCCAAAGTTAGATTTAATTGTGTATATTTTTATTTTCTTTATTCTCATATATTTTTAAATTTTTTTTCAATCGCAGCTTATTCGTCGTTGAGCAGTGTTTCCAGTTCTCTATCTAGTCCAGCTATCAGTCCTCGTAACATATCACCAGTCAATCCTACCGAGAATAGTCATAATCTAGGTGAGTAATCAATAAACGCCCCCCAAATGTTGGAGAGTTATTCGATTTGATTTCTTCTTTTCTTTTCCCTCCGATAGATTTAACCAGCATGTTGTCAGATCTTACGGTGTCGGATCGTCGTGCACCGGGCTGTGAGAAGAAATCGCTGGAGATGGCAGCGCAACAAAATTTCGCCTCCTTCGATTACGAGCAGAAGAAAATATTAGCGGCGAAGGCGATTCAATCGAAACCGAATACCAACGACTACCGTGTCCCTACTTCCGTTTGGTCTGGCTACGGGCTCAGTCAATCCATTCCACCGATAACTACAACCGACATGAAGAAGGTTAGCGTAACCTCTCCTGTTGGGTTTCATTTTTTAACAACGCGTGACATCACCGCGACATCATCGCTAATACCAAACAGAAGGCAACAAATTGACGCGAGTCTCTTTCCAATCGTAGGAATCGACCACCCCCCACCCATCCGACTTGTGGAAGGAACCAACGACGCCGGTATTCAGCAGAGATATCGACTTTGGACTCGGCTCTGGCAAAGACCGTGCCGGACAGATCGGTTTCAGTTCGAACTACATGGAGCACACGCCGTCTTCGCATTTGAATAAGATCACCTCTCATCGGTTCGACGATTTGGCCACAATGTTGATCAGCGTTGGATTGGAGAAGTATATTCGTGAGTAGAATTCGCTGTTTGCTCGGTTTCAAACAACTGGCAATTTCGTGTGAAAATCTGACTGCTCATTGTAAATCGCAGCCTCAGCTTGTTTGCTTGCTTGCTTGCTTGCTCGCCTGCTTGTTCGCATTCGTCATATACATACGTGCTTTTACTCTCTGTTTATCAGGCCTGTTCACGTCGCACGAAGTGGACATGGCTACGTTCCCCTCGCTGACGGAGAAAGATCTGTACGAAATCGGGATAACCGCTTGGGGCGCAAGACGTAAAATAATGTTGTTAATCGCTGGTACGTGCATGAATGATCTTCCGGCGATCGATTGATTTTTCTTAACCTTTCTCAATCTCTCCTTCAGAAATGAACAAACGGACTAGCCCATTCTGTGGTAGCGCCGCTCCTGGTGCGGAACGCAAGACATCCACGTCGTCGACCACGTCCTCGATGGAGAAGTGCAATCTGGATACCAAATGGTAGGAGGGACGAAGGAGTAAAGAAAAAGAAGAAAAAGAAAACAATTAGCTAGAACGAACAACGAAGGATTTAGACAGGACCGCGTCGTACTTAAAGTTCGCTTCGCGTTCGTACGCAGACTCGATTGCGTTTCGAGAACACCCCTCGGGAACGAGAATCGAAATCAAATTACGCGCAAGCCGTTTTCTCGCCGACTCGACAGTAGGATCAGGTTATAGTTAGTATGTTAATTTGCGATTCCAGGCACCGAGAGAATAGGCGGATGATTCTTTTTGTGATCGAGGACCGTTCACTTCTTCTTTTTTTTTTTTTTTTTGTCAATTATTTTTTTGCCCCCCGCTTGCATGTCCTCGATTCACGCGGTCGGAGGTGCCTTAGGTTAAGGAAAGTCGTTCGTTACTTTCGTTTTCGTTAGCTTTTTTTTTTTTTTTATGTTCTTTCTATCTAATGGTCTTTCTATCGTGGTCGCGCGATATATATATATATATACATTCGTGTATTCGACGAATCGATGGTTTTCGTATTGTTCTTTTTTTTTTTTTTTTTTTTTTTGTGCGTGTGCGGAGCGCAATGCTCCGAGAAAAATTGTAGTGTCGTTTGGCACGTTATATATCGTGTATGTTTTTTTTTTCTTTTTTTTTTTCTTTTTTT